TTATGTTTTGTATTTACTTTTACTGGTGACTTTTTACGTTTTTTTTTTTGTGGATTTGAGTTACTGTCTAGTATCCTTCGTTCCTCCATGAAAGACTCCCTTTAGTATTTCTTGTAGAGCTTGTAGGTGTATGAGCTATGAATTTTCTTGGTTCTTGTTGGTCTGGGAATGTCTAAATTTCTCCTTTATTTTTACAGGATCATTTTGCCAGATGTAGAATTCGTGATTCACAGGGTTTTTTTTCCTTTCAGTACTTTGAATATGTCATCCTTCTGGCCTCCGTGGTTTCTGATGAGAAATTAAGCTACTAATCTTACCAAGGATTCCTCGTACACAATGAATCCCTTCTCTTGCTGCTTTCAAGATTTTCTCCTTGACTGTCTTTTGGTAGCCTGATTATACTGTGTCTCTTTGTGGCTCTCTTTGAGTTTATCCTCTTTGAAGTTCATTGGGCTTTTGGATTTGTAGGTTGATGTTTTTCATTTGATGAAAATATTCTTCAAATATTCTTTCTGGGCTTCCCTGGTGGCGCAGTGGTTGAGAGTCCGCCTGCCGATGCAGGGGACGCGGGGTCGTGCCCCGGTCCGGCAATTAAAATCAGAGTCAAGAGTGAAACGGCATAATTTGTATATTGCCTTCTTCCTTCTAATGTGTTAAATTTCTGTCTGACTACATGTGCCCAAACGGTTTTCCACCAACCTCCTCATCTGTGTTAGATTAAACTAGGGTTTTAAATCCAGGTAAATGTTGTATCATCTTTTATGTATATATGTTGGTACATGTGATGGTGTCTCACGAGACTCTGCAGTTCATTCATTTTTCTTCATTCTTTTTTTTCGTTCCTTAGACCAAAAGTCTTGATTGACCTGTCTGTTCACACACGCTTCTGCCTGCTCAGATCTGCTTTTGAGCCCGTCTGGTGATTTATTTCAGATACTATAGTTTTGAACTCCGCAATTTCTATTTGTTTCCCTTTTATAACTTCTGTTTCTTTTTGGTGTTCTCTGTTAGGTGAGACATCATTCTCACAGTTCCTTTAGCTCTCTGAACATATTTTAAATGGCAGATTAAAAGTCTTTATCTAGTGAGTCTAACATCTGGGCTTCCTCAGGGACAGCTTCCAGTAATAGATTTTTTTTTCCCCCCCCCGGGTATTTCCCGCATTTTTTCATGCATGCCTTATAATTTTGTTGCTGTTGTTGAAAACCGGGCATTTTAAATGTTATAATGTAGCAACTCTGGAAATCAGATTCTACTCTCCCCAGGGCTTGTTTTTGCTGTTTGTTGTAGCTGTTGGTGGTTTGCTTAGTGAGTGTTGTGAACTAACTTTGTAGAGTCTGAGTGGCCGTGAAGTTCTGCTGTTAGCTGAGTGATCAGCTAGCGATTGGACAGACATGTCCTTAAATACGTGGGACCGGGGGAAAAAAAACTTCCATTTTACAGACGGGCTTTGTGTGCTGTGTTGGGGCATGTCAGTTGACAACTCTGCCTTAACCTTTACTTACTTCTTGCTTGGTCAACCAGAGGTGAGAGCTTAGGGCCTTCTCAGGTCTTTCCTGAGCCCTGAGGCCCAGCCCTGGCCTCTGGAATCCCAGCCCTTATTCTCCAGAGCTTCTCATTCCCTGGCCTTTCCTCCCAAGCTTTTTGGTTAGTCTGTTTGCTGCAACTGCTATCCGTTGCCCCAGGCAGTGGTGACCGTTACATTTGCTGTAAATATTTACGACCAGTGATCCAGGGAGCCATCAGACAGGACCGGACTATCTCAGTTCTTCGTAAGTGAGCTCTGTTCTCCCTCCACGGCCACCACCAATCTGATTCTTACCGTTGTTGTCAGTTTTTTAGTTGCTTTTATGGGGCGTGCGGATGGACCTTTGGAGTCTCTTAATCTGCCATCTTTTCTCTTGTCCGTTGATGTCCTCTGTTAAAACTTGAAATTATATAAAAAGAAAATGTGGGGCTTCCCTGGTGGCGCAGCGGTTGAGAGTCCGCCTGCCGATGCAGGGGACACGGGTTCGTGCCCCGGTCCGGGAAGATCCCACATGCCGCGGAGCGGCTGGGCCCGTGAGCCATGGCCGCTGAGCCTGCGCGTCCGGAGCCTGTGCTGCGCAACGGGAGAGACCACAACAGTGAGAGGCCCGCGGACTGCCAAAAAAAAAAAAAAAAAGGAAAATGTGAGCCTTGTATCAGTGACCACAGGTGGAAGATAGTCTTGAAAAGAAACACAGCGAAAGTGAAGCTGCTGGCTGGACCCAGTTGTCTGCCCTCGGTTCTGTGTTCAGGGCCTGCAGCATCTTTGTGGTGGGGCCTTGAAGACCGCGAGACCCTATCACATTGTCAGAGAAATGGAAAGGGAAGAACTGATGGTGTCCAACAGTGGCCGTGTTTCTACATGAAATCTTCCCAGACTCTGGGAGGCATGGCAGGATGGGACCGGGGCCGGGGGTGTTTGAAGGCAGAGGTGCTGAGTGTGAGCCTTACTGAAACCTGCCGCGCTCTGCTTTCTCAGATTATCCTTCTACTCCGGACACTCCTCCTTTGGAATGTACTGCATGGTGTTCTTGGCGGTGAGTTTGTTTCTCTGTGACTCGCTTGTTGTGGAGCGGTGGACTAGGCCCTTCCCTGGGCCTCAGTAAAGTGGGGTGGGTGGAGGTGGTGATGGATGGGCTCTGGCTTGTTGATAAAAACTGGAGGCCCTGGGCCTACAGGTTCCAGGCTCCTGGCCTCAGTGTCACCGTCTGTGCGTCCGGCGGGGGTGGCCTGGCAGGCTCCCATGCTGACGGCTGCTCTTGGCCCCCAGCTCTACGTGCAGGCCCGGCTGTGCTGGAAGTGGGCACGGCTGCTGCGGCCCACCGTGCAGTTTTTCCTGGTGGCCTTTGCCCTTTACGTGGGCTACACCCGTGTGTCTGACCACAAACACCACTGGAGTGATGTTCTCGTTGGCCTCCTGCAGGGGGCGCTGGTGGCCGGCCTCACTGTGAGCTCCCGGGCCCCGACCCCCTGCCCTGACCAGAGACCCCCGCTCTGGGGCCCTCCTGCCCTCTCTCTGCCTCTCCAGGACCCTCTCCTCCCATCTTTCCCCTAAGATCCCCCCCTCTGCTGTCCTCACTGCCCCCGCCACGGTGCCCCTCAGCTCCTGGGCTCCGCTGCCCCTCCCTGCCCTGTGCTGCCGCGCCCCGTCCTGCCCCCGCGCAGTCAGCTCCTGCCGTCCTCTCCTCTGCCAGGTCCGCCACGTCTCCGACTTCTTCAAAGCCCGGCCCCCGCAGCACTGCCTGGAGGGCGAGGAGGCCGAGCGGAAGCCCAGCCGTCACTGACGCTGGCCCTGCGCGAGTGCGGCTGCAGCCTCTGCGGGTCCCCTCCTGCTGGGGCTCGGGCTGAGGGCAGCGAGCACGTCCGTGGCCCTGGCAGCTCCCTAAGCCGGGATGGCTGGATCCTGGCGTGGGCTCCACTAACCCCACCTCCACGCACTGGGCCAGGGGGTACCTGGGGCAGCCCTAGCGTGTGGAGGGGGACTCCTGTCTTCTGTTGGGTTAGGGAAGGGACTGAGAGATCCCAGTGGATGCCGTTTTTGTAAAATGTGACGTCTGTGTGGATTTTTAGTAAAATAGGGCGTTTGCTTGACAGATGTTATCAGCACCTCTTCCTTATGGCCGTTCTGAGGACTCTGTTCCTACAGCAGAGGGGGAGACCCTCTCTGGTTGGGGGCTCAGCTGAGCGAACCAGCCATGCCTGCGTTGCTGCTCTGGTCACGTGGGCAGGAGGGTTGCAGGAGAAAGGCCGACTGCCCGTTCCACTCTCCTGTGGCGCTAAGGTTGGGGGTCAGGTGGACCTGCACAAGCAGTCGGGGTGTCACCCTGCAGAGAGAGCCCTGAACAGAAGACACCTGCCGTCGTTTGGCCCCCGGGGCCGGGGAGCCTAGCAGAGACCCGAGTCCACGTCGCGTGGAGGGGTGTATTTACAGCTCTTCCCTCCTCCCAGTAAGGAGGCCTCTGCGGGGGGCCCCTGTGCAGGCCCCCAAATGTAAGGGCTTGGGCAGAAGTTCAGATGTGGATAAGACCGTGGCCACAGGAGCCTGGGTCCTTATCAGCACCCCCAGAGACTGACTGTGCGCAAGGCTGTACTCAGGTCCGCTGAGAGGGCAGCTCCCGTGGGCTCTGCCAGGTGGAGCCTTGCAGTGGCTGTTGTTGAGTTTGAAAGGTCACACATGGGGTTTGGGCCTGGAGCGGGGTCCTTGTGCCCTTTCTGCTGGGGGATATACCACCCCAGCCCCGGCCCAGGCCTCAGAGTCCCTCCCCTTCGAATGACCGGGACCTCTGCCCTCGGATCGTCCCGTCTCAGTGGTGCCCACCTGCATCTGTCCACTCCCTGTGTCCCTGGAGGACTCACTGAAGCTGAAACTCCCCCAGTCCTGACCCCTTCCCTCTGGTCACAGGGACCCCTGTGCACATAAGTGGCATAGATCAGCCCATAAACAAACCTTAAAGAGGGAAAATAGGTTCAAAACCTTAGTGTGGGGAAGACTTTTGTAACTGGGAAAAATAGAGAACGGGAAGCAGAGGGAAGCTGGGGCCCAGGCCGGGGCTGGGGCGTCAAGAGGTGGAACAGACGATGGGGCATAGACTCCCATGTGCCAGGAAGGCGTCCCAGGTGACTGAAGCTTCTGGACCTGATCACCGACGGGCCGGGGTCCCTGAAACTTGCAGAACACACACAGCTTACCTGCTCAAACAGAGCGTAAGTAGGAAGTTCAGTCTTTCGTCAGATATCTGGGCAAAATGGGTGATTTAGTTTTAAGTCTGTTTTTGTTTTACCTGCACCCAGAACCTGTCTTATTCTGTATCCGTTTCAGGGTGTTCCCGTCTGGCCTCCGCAGTGCTCGGGGGCAGAGATGCAGCCTAGCAGCCTCCACTGGAGGCCACGATGGAGAAGGTGAAGATCTTCACGGCCACCCTGGCCTCGCCTCAGCCTGTGGTAGACGGGGAGGGAGGAGGCCCACACACTGCACGTCAGCAGGACGCTGAAGGTCAGGAACTTGGCTTCCTTGAAGGTACTGGGCAGGTTCTGGGCCAGGAAAGCCCTGGTGAAGCTCCCCAGGGCAAGGAGCCCAGGTATCCCAGGGCACAGCAGAAGACAGGGGCCAAGCCCCGGTTGCAGGCGAGGAGGACACATCTAGGCTTGGAGTGCGTGTCTTTGTCAGCGAAGAGAGGAGAGGTTCCCAGGCAGATTCCACAGAGAGTCGGGTGGATTGGGGAGTGGATGAGAACGGTGAAGTCGGGTGCCCCTGACACCAAGCAGCTTTCCTCCCAGGAGCAGTGATCCTGAAAGTCAAGACCACGCAGAGGGTTTTGGCCCAAACAGTGGAAACAGCGCAGTAAACACCGTGCCAGATGTGGTTGCTGGAGGGCGCAGCTGGCTGCGCTGGGACGGCCGATGAGGGGTGAGCAGCACAGAAAGCCTGGGCACGGGGAGATTAGGAGGACGCAGCTGAGAGTCTCTCTCTTGGCCTTGACTGTGGGCGAGTCTCGGGCTTAACGAAGACCCCAAGGACCACAGCTGTGAGAGCAGCGGAGGAGAGAGCCGCCCCCAAAGGGTCCTCAGAAGCTGGGCAGGTCACAGCCGTTGGGGCGGGGTGGGGGGGCAGCGTTCTCTCTTACTGTTTGAGTATAGGATGCTGTACGCACTGGTTTGCATCTGACAAGAAGAGCAGAGATGCAGTGTCTCAGGTGCAGTCATTCTTACAAATCCAAGAAGCATCAGTGTGTGGTCACATTGGAAGTTAGGACATATTGATACACCCAGGCAGCGCCACAAGGAAACTCTCGTGCGTGACTTGGGGTTTACGGTCCTTATGGTTCTATGGCAAGAATAGCCTTTTCTCTTTTCCTCTCTACATGGAGGGGGGTGGGGGTGGTGTTTCTTCAGTTGATTCTCATGGGAAACACCTAGGTTCTTAGCCAGGTAAATATCATTTCTCATGGCATGTTCTCGACGCTCAGCATTCCGTCTACCTTCTGATGTCGGGTTTTGAGAACCCCTCCTAACTGAGTATTGAACCATATGCAGGAATTTCTGTGCAGCACGGCGCTGTGGCTTTGTAGGAAGTCATGCTTGCTTTTTCACAGGTGAAATTTTGTAAGGGCTGTGACTGACAGTATTTCACAGGACAAAAATGAGATGAAAATGTGGCACAATTTAGTGATTATGAAGTCCGCCTGTTTGTATATAGGAATCCATTATGTCACTCTCTTTACTGTAGTTTGAAAACTTTTACAGTAATTCAAAACAGGTAAAGCTCTGCCTAAGTAAATCTTCCTAAGTTGAAAAATAATGTATTCATTCCTCATTCACCAAATAAATCCCTGTTTAAATTGTAACAACATAAAATCCTAATTGAAAAACTTTGTAATGTCGGTTACTGTAGCGGTTTCTGCTCGTGGGTTCCCAGCAGCAGTGGAGGTCATGACGTTCATGTCTCTCTGACCGACCACAAGCAGGCCATTGGTAGGGACTTTGTGGAGGGTCACCCCCTGAGGCTGTGTGGTTTGGGGATTCTTCCTGGAGGCTTAGCAGCCTCAAGCCTGCTAGTCTAGCCCGTCAGCCATCGAGCACCTCTTATGGTGGGGGTGGTGGTTGTGGTGGTGGGGGTGGGTGCTGTTCTACTGCAATTTTTAAAACCTGTGCTTTTTCTTAAGCCTCTTTTAGCATATTTTCAGCAGCTGGACAGCTCCTAGGTCTCCTGCCGGCCTGCTGACTTACCATCTCTGACGTAAACATGCCCCAGAATTTTTCTGTTGGCCTCATTTTCATCAGTGTGATTTTTTGGGATCCAAGTAGCCCAGTTTACACAATTGATAGCTACATTTTTGGGTGAATCTGGGGCACTAAGTAACAATTTCTAACTGGAAAAAGGCTGGAATCACTTGACAGCAGGCATCCACCCTGCAAGGGTGCCCAGATCTCCCCTGTGTATGTCTTTCCTTGGGCTCCAGAGAGAGTGCTCACCTCTCACATCATCACAGACCAACAGCCCCGCCCAGGTCCAGCCATGGGGCAGCAGCAGCCACACCACGCCTGAGGCCAGAGGAGCACTCCTGGAGGCCACCTGACTCAGACCTGGTGACTGACCCTTGACATTCAGCAGAAGGTCACAGGGACCTTCAGTGACCTGAATGGGAAGGAGAAAAGCACGGCCATTTTCTTCTCCAAAGAAACAATCAAGAGAGAATACTTCTGTGGTACTCATTTGAATCGTATGCCTTTTCACCTGCCACGGAAAGGGATCCGGATATTAAACAACGTTACTTTCAATAAGTGCAGCTGCAAGGGTGTCTTCGTACCATGTTTTCTTTTCCTTATTTTTCTGGCCACACCGCACGGCTTGCAGGATTTTAGTTCCCTGAGCAGCGACTGAACCCGGGTCCTGGCAGTGAAAGCGCCAAGTCCTAACCACTGGACCACCAGGGAGTTCCCCATATTTTATTTTCAGCGTCACTGGAAGGGCTACCTGGAAAAATTGTGCAGAACCTATTTCTAGGACCTCCTGCGGTTGACTTTAGCCTGTAAAGTCTTCATTCTCTCCCTTGTCGTTGCCGAGTCAAGTAAAGAACATGCCACTCCAGTTCTGTGCATTCCGGTTTTCCACCTTGAACGACGTACAAGGACATTCTCTCCTCGTTTGTTTTACTGCCGTATTTTGTTGCTGGACAGGACGTATGTTCAGCTGTGCCCCGCCGCGCCTTCACCTCCACTTGTGGGAATTTGTAGAGATCCAGCAGTGTCTCCCTGAGCAGGAAAAAGCTGATGTGGTTCCTGCAGTGACAGCGGTGGCTTTGTTCTGTTTCTCACAGGTGAAATACAGGTTGGTCTGGCCCGCTCCTGACAGCCATGCCAGGGAGCTTCGCCAAGGTCCTTTGGTCTCTTTTGTAGGAAATGTACACGTGATATCCTAAGGGTGTGTTAGGTGGGTGATTGGTGTTCCTGTTGATCTCCTCAGTGTCAAGTCCAAAGGCCAGAATGTAAATATAGTTTCTGAATATCCACCTGCATTAAAGGAAGAGCATTAGGGATCCGAAGCCATCCACACATGCGGTGATTATCTGTTAGGCTAATCACAGGGCCCCATGTGGTGCTTTGTCCAAATACGGAAGCCACTCACGACCCGTGGCTTTTTAAATTTAAATTAACAAAATAAAAATCCAGTTTACCAGTCACAGTAGGCTGAGGAGAAGAAAAAGAATATTTCTGTCATTGGAGGAATTCTTTTGAGATATTCTTGTTTAGAGAATTAAAACTAAGAAAATTCAGTTAGGGTTAAGGTTCCAAGTTAGAGTTAAGGTCAGGGTCAGAGGTTAGGTTCAGGATGAGATTAAGGTCAAGGTCATAATTAAGGAGTGGGAAGGTAGCTCCATATCCTTGGTGGCTGAGTGACTATATCAGTT